GAGGAGGACGACGGACCGCATCAGCGTAGCTCGCTGGATGTGGCTCAGGACTTGGCGTGTGTGGTGTAACGGCTTGCCTCAACTCCTGGCGGACGATTTCGGCAACAGATGTGACGGGCGGTTGGGTAGGAGGGACGCAGAGGGCCTGAAGTTCCTCACGCAGTTTTTCCCTAATCATTTGTCGCAGGGAACTTTCACACACGGCAGTGTTCTGAGCTGCAGCACTTACTGCCGTGTGGTTCGGCAGGCGGTCAAAGCGTCTGCATCGTTTTTGCAGTGCGCGCTCGATGACAGTCACCTCTCTTATAAATTCATCTACTGCTGTAGGTGTATTTCATACGAGACTCACAAACACTAGTTCCTTAACACCCTGCATTAGGTGACACATCTTTTTCATTTTGGGCATCTTAGGATCAGCTCGTAGAAATAGACGGATTGTACTCTCTGTGTACATGGCGGCTGTTTTGTTGGGTTTTTGCACACGAGCCTCAATCAGTTGCTGTGCACGATTCCGTCGGTTCGTGTTCAAAAATGTGGCGAGGAGCTTTCAACGGAAATCTTCCCAAGATTGGAAAGTAGCCTCGTGGTTCTCGTACCACGTGCAAGCGCTATCTTCCAGGGCGAAATATGCACGGCCAAGTTTGTGCTGTTCGTTCCAGTGGTTAGATACAGCGACCCGTTCGAACTGTTCGAGCCAGTCCTCGACATCCTCGTACTCTTCCCCTTGGAAAACTTCAGGAACGCGAGGATGTTCAAGAGTCACCTGCGAGGGAAGAGTGGTCTGCGATGGAAGGGTAGCCATGGATGTGGTAAGAGCTGCCATGGTGGTTAGAGGCGGAACAGGTGCGGACTGCGGACTTAGACCTAGTAGGCGCCGACTAAATCGGTGCACCGGAGTCGTGACGAGGGGCTGGGTCTCTGGACTAGGTGAACGGGTCCGAGCAAGACTGTCCTGCATCCGGTTGTAGGCTCCAGCACCTCCACCAGTGTCACGATGTCAAAACAGAGGTCTTGCCGCAGAGATTGAGACACCAGAAGCAGGTCGATCTTTTTAATTAGAACGCGCAAGTGAGTTCTTCTTCGTCCATTTCGTAGTCCTTCGTGGCACATGCACAACTGCCATCGTCTTTCTTGAGCAAGCATGTGACAATATACTTTGCCATTTTCCTTCTCATTTATTTTATTCATTTATTCAATACAATACTGCTGGTCTGATCTTCACCCCTTAGGCAGAAGTGGGTGCAAGTGAACACAAAAAATGCTTACATATGGGGTATTTATGGAAGTAACAACAAAAACCTCGGTTAGAGGTTTTTGTTGTTACTTCCCATCAAGAGAAATGCCACAAATGAGCATCAATAAAAACAGTGAATTAAAATAATAGGAAAGGAAAAAAACTTTTTTTTTTATTTACATATACTGTGCACACATGCTGCGCACAGAGACATTACAAGGGTGGATACAAAATTTGTTTTGAAATCAGGCATAACATGACACAAATTAGCATCCAAAATGAATGCCAAAGTGCATGAATTAATAAGCATATAAAGGAAAGTTATACGAATACACATATAATAAATAAATATTGAATCATTAACACTTGTTAGATAGTAGAAAAGGGTTTAATATACATAAAGCACAGTACTCATTTAGAAATCGAGAGGCACATGCTGATGAATGCTTTCTGTAAATTATGCAAGAGGTAACTGGCAAAGTGAGCCGTCTAAATCATTCCAGATTTTGACTGTGGATGGGAAAAATGAGTATTTAAAACTACCTAAACGTGGGCAGAATGAGACAGGATTAAGGGGGTGATAGCTACGAGTAGCACGAGTAGGACGTTTCACAAATGAGACTGGCGCCGCGATTACGGATGATTCATGTACAATCTTATGTAGAGTGACAAGCCATTTGCATGTACGTGGATGTGCTAGTGTTTCAAGCGATAAATTATGTGTGTGCGATTAAGGAGAGAAGTGGCAATCGTATCTGCTGTATATGAATCTTATGGCTTTTCTTTGCAAAAATTCGAACTTGGCCACGTCACAAGAGAAAAATGGGGACCAGACAACCGACGCGTACTCCAAGATTGGCCTGATTAGGGTTTTATACGCAATCTATTGATTGCAGCCTTAAGTAGAATCCCGCAATGTACAATTTAGGTAGAATAATTTACGAAGGGCTTTCGAGTGAATGCAGTGTATGTGTTTCTGCCATTTCAAATTATGTGTGAAAGTCAACCCAAGATATTTAAACTCATCTTCATGTGTAATGTTAGTTACACTGTAACCAAAATAAAAGCATAGTGGCTTAACCTTTTTGGAGAAGGTAATGGCGACTGTCTTCGTTAGGTTGGTAGATAGTTGCCAGGAATCACTACAGGTAAATAGGAACTGGTCTGCACACATGGAAATTGCAGAATATAGAACGCAGTCATCTGCATAGGCACGAAGTTAAACTGGCAAGCAGTTGACTTATAGTGTAATATAAAAGGCCAAGAGAGGACACTTCCATAGGCCCCTGCGGCTGATTTGGTTTCGCAGCGCACCAAACGAGTGTGGTGAAACTTTGCAGCCTCAGAGATGGCAGACCGCAGAAAAGACTGTCTCGAAGGCCATTTTGTAGGGACTAAGATCATTATACAGCCTCTGAGACCCCTTCGTGCGTGCACATCTCTGAGGCCGTACTTTAATTTTTTTTTTAACACGTCGTTTGCATACATTGATGAGCTTCGTGTAAGCTGCACCGCTAGAGCGGCAAGCACACGATGCAAATGTGTGTCGATGTACAAAATTTAATTAATACTTGAGAATTATTGGAGAAGCAAAAACTTTTATTTTCAAGTGATATTCTTGGTAAGCACATGTCCACTTTGTTAATGTTTGATAAATGCAGGCACAAAGAAGGGTTCATTGCACTGTGAGACGCAAAAATACAGCTGCCATATCATGATTATAAATTACACACAAAAAATAAACCTATAAGCAACAATATAACAAGAACTGTAGCAGCATTAAACTAAATAACGCACACAACTGCACATACAGTGCACAACGCGACACGGCAGTAGTTGCCTCAGCACTTGACTCCACATAAACTGAAAGAGAAAAGAAAAATGTTGGCTACGTTTTCTTTCCCACCTTCGCACTAATTTTCTCTTGCACACTTTACATCGCTCTACCGGCAAAAACAGCCACAAGCAGTTGCCGCAGCAAAAACAAAGCAATTTTAGGTGTCATGCAAGCCGTTGCCAAGGCAAAAGTGTTCACTCAAAGATTACGTCCTAGCTTTAGCTAGCAGACATTTTTCTAGATTCACCACTTCTCTTATTGCACTCATTCGAGATTCAAGCAATTTGCGAATGGCACAGACAATGATACTGAGCATAGCTGCACTTTTCACAAAGTCTCACTCATGCAGTGAATTTTAATACATGTAGCGGCTCAACTAAAACCTAACAACGGGAGCAGTCACTTAATTTCTGGAGCCAAGAAAGAATTTTCTCGCAAACGTCCTGCGATGCATTCCTGACAGTTTTCTTTCGTTTGAAGCAATCCACGAAAACAGCACGCGAAGTGAAGAGCACAAAAAAAGATCTCCGTGCCAAACAGCACTATGCCAGAAACGTTAGGTTAAGGCTTCAATGATAAATACAATATGCACTCAACATAGTATTGATGGCATTGGTCCGTAGACGCGGTAGACTACATGAGCACACTGAGTGCGTGAACGCGTAGGAGCATTCCACGGCGGTCTGCTCAATGCGCTGATCGCGGGGACACGAACTCATGCGCAACGCTGGCACATTAGCCCCGCATCTCGTAGTATTTCACGGGAAAAAAATATAAGAAAAATGCGCACAATTTTTTATTGCGTCTCATTATCTATTTCAAGTTTTATTCATCTCTTAAAGCAACAAATACATAAACTACGCATGTTGTATTAAATGATTTTTGCTGTGTCACGTGGTATACTGTTGACAACGTCAGAGCAGGCTGGTCTACATAGAGGACCAACGTCACTGCATTGCCATGTACATAGGGCCATTCCTACGCCTACGTCATGCCCTCATTCTCTACGCGTGCGCCGGCAGAGGGGAGGGGGAGCAGCTTTCATCTTGAAATTTGACCCATTTCCGCGGCGCGTAGCGTTGCAAAGTTTGGCAGACGTGATCATGAACGCATCGTCTACGCATTGCGCTTGTCAGCTCAAAATTGCCAAACCTGGTGAGTGGCCCTTTAAAAGAAAACTGTTCAAGTTGGTCTGCCAAGTGCAGATAGTATTTTGTCTAGCTGCAGTCACCAGTTTTCTTTCCTTGTAGTTTCGTATATTGAATATAGAAGGCACTGTTGGCAGTCCGACCTCTATTTTTCTGCTGTCCGCTCGGCTGGTGACCCAAAGGTCGCATCCCGGCAGCCACATTTTGGTGTAGGTGAAATGGTAGAGGCCCATGCACTGTGCGATGTCTGTGCAAGTTTAAGGACACCAGATGCTCAAAAATTTTCAGAGCCCCACTACAGCGTCTCTCATATATTGGACTTGTGATCCGCATAATAGAAAAAAAAAGAATATTCTACTTTTCTGCTCTTTAATAAAGGGCAGAAACAGTGATGGCAGTCATGTCACGATGAAATATCCATAAAAATTTATTTTTAAAAAAAATTTTTCCCATAATTCCACTTCTCATTCAGTTTTTTCTTTCAGCTTGCAACCTTACCACGGGAAGGACCCTCTGGAATATTATTTGCTTTATCTATCTCCAAAAGTAGTTCCCTAACAGTGCTTTGTTACTGTGCTATTCCATGACTAAAAGGGCTCTCTTGTTTTCTATTACTGGATGCTTCAAAATGCAATCTTGAAAACAGCAGTGCGAAACTTCTCTGCTTTAAATCTTTTGGTTCTAAAGTGCTCCTAAAGTAATCTGGCTTTTTTCAATCCTGCATACTGCATCAGAAAAAACTTGTTTTTTCAATTTTATACTTGGCTTGGCTTTTGTGCAGGTGTTCTTTGAAAAGATATTCGTCACACGACCTTGGAAGGCTCTGTTTGTAACCACTGATGACTCTATCAAGGAGTGGTGGTTTCGCTGGAAGATTGATCGCTATGTGAGTGACACCTGTTTTTTATCTTATCACTTGTGGAAATTTTCGCTTGAAAGTATTGTGTTTGTTTTGAGCCCATGTAATTCTTGGTGTTTTTCGGAGCATGTTTTAAGCAGTCCTTGATATATTGGGCAATTTGGCCAATTTTACCTCACGTCTGCAGTGTCTCGGAGAACCCAGCCATTGTGCACTTAACAAAGGACTTAAATGCCCTGTTAGCACTTGGTCATAATAGACATTAAGCATCGCCTCTGAGATAGTGCTCCAGCAAGCTTCTCTGCTGGCGTACAGTTTTGTAGGCCATGCATCAAGTGTACAGAGCTCATATAGTTTGCTTGCATCTATTACAACAATCTTTATTCCTATAACACTCATAAATGGACGTGTTTTGTATTCGTGTTTCTGCTTGTGTCTTTATGTTTTAATGTTTTGAACCTTCCGGTCAACTAAAATACCCTTTGTAGATTCTAATGTTTTCATGTTAAGATATAAACTTGAAATATCATCGTCTGAAATGTTGTAGTACCAAGAATAATGTAAAATTAACCTGGAAATTTTGAAGTACTGGCGATTTCAGAAAAGTAAATTTCTTAAATATGAGGCTATGCTTCACCCTCTCCCCTCATCTTCGTCACGTTATTACCATGCACCTATTTCCCAGTGATTTCACTGCTGTGTGAAATTGGGCCGAATTAGATTTACTGTATCATCTTGATAAAATCCAAATAAATTGTAACAAACTGGTCTAGAGTTTCAAGTTTGATGGTGTATGTCATTGGCAATTGCACTGCCAGCACGACAAGACACGTGCAGCACTGTCTTGAGGGTCACAATGTTACCGCCACAAACAGATCATTGCTTCGAAGATGAAGCAGATTATAGATATAAACATCACCATGCACAATGTTGGGAAGGCTCTCGAGCAAATTTTGGTTTCAGATCAGATCTGATAAACCTGGTGGGATGAGTCTGGATCCCACCTAGGCTTTGGCCAAGGGTTGCTGGTAGCTTCCTTCACCCACTGGACGTCCCTGAGTTGGTGCTCCAGGTTTGAGCTCAGCTACGCACACACCCCGGGCATGCAGAGGCTGTCGCTGTTCAAAGATGCATCATGGCTATTGTTTGTTATGCCTGGGCATTTCCATAGCATGTGTTCTAATGTGGCTTTGTAATCCCAATGTTTGTCGTGTATAAATTTGGCTGTATTACATGTATGATGGCTAGACTCTGGTAGGAATGGGTTTGGAACTGCTGCCATTTGACAGGCTATTTTTGCTTTTCTTAATTTTGGGTGAGGTGGTGGGAATTAAAGCTCTGCAATCTATGGTGTGCTGTAATTTTATTAAATGTGTGGTTATTCTATCCTCCCACTCATAGGAATTTGCTGAGGTGGGACTAACCCTTAATATTTAACTATGGCCTTTCTTTTTGAGACCCATTCACCCTCTTCTTCAGGAGGTGAGTATCTTTTTAGTGGCTGTCTCCCTTTCCATCATCGTTCTCCCCACTGCTCTTATCAATGCATTGTCTTCATCATTAGTTTCGGAGACGGCATACATACATGCTCAAGCGTTTCATGTTTCCAGGTGTCGTATGTATATGCCAAGTTACAACTATTATCATCTGGTGTGGTTACCCTACTTTTCAATCACCCGGGGGTCGTAAAAGTCATTGCAATTATCCATCAATCCTCGCTCGGACCTGAAATGTTTGTGATTTATTTTATTTGCGTCTTTCTCGATTTTTCGGTCACACACAAGATGACAATTTTTCGCTCACAACCCACGAGGCCAGAATTTCCGGGAAATGAACTCTTTAACGTTATCGTGTTAAAGCTCCTTCAGTCGGCACAGCTCTTCCGTAGGCAGGTTGGTCATTGCACTGAGTTTCTTATTTTTCTCCAGGGTGTCTAGAGCAGCTAAGACCACTAGGGGCATGGGTACACTTGTGAACAGCAAAATGGCATCGAAGGACACAAGGCTCTTGTAAATTGCTCTTGTTACTTCACTCAAAAAACTGGGTGGCGTTTCTCGCATAGGTGATTGTCTTTCCCACTTGTAGTGATAGAATCCTCTACAGATGTTTTGACACCATGAGAACTGGGGATGCTCTGAAGTCGACTGTAGGGCATAGTGGTGTCCCTAGCTTGTGGGTACTTGGAAGGCCATCGAGTTTCGGTACAGAACTATTGCTGCATATGAGGCATAAGTAGAGGGGTCATGACTCTGGGTGCCTTTCAAAACATCTCATAATAGCTCGTTTAGCTCTCATTGTATTCTGGTTATGGATGGGGTCTTTTGTGAGCTTCATTTATTCGGGGCTGTCCAGAAGGCTTTTTACCTTGTCTCTATAGGATTTTCGAGTACCATGGTTGACGCACCTTTGTCAGCTGGAAGATTGGTTATTGTTTGGTCTTTCCGAACTTCTTGAATTGCTACGTTTAGATTCTCCACTGGTTGTGTTGGTAGCCTTGAAAAGATTCCAATGGCTTTGAGCTGCACATCTCGTACCTCATTGTCTAGGTGCTGTATGTCATCTCCAACAGCTGCAATGATCTGAAGAAAGCACTGATCTGAAGAAAGCGTAGGAACAATAGGTTCCTATGACTTTGCTGAATGACAGTGAGCCAACCCAGAACTCAGGAGCCTTGTGGAATATACCTCAAAGGTCAAAAACCACTACTATCCCAAAGGTAAAAGTGAGTACTGACATCGTTATTCTTGCAAAACAAAGTTCTCCTACATAAGAACTTCTTGCCACTCATTATACATTCCGCATTAAATGCAGAAATTTTGGAAACTTTGCATGACGACCCAACGGATGGACACCTTGGATTTATCGGCACACTTTCAAGGATGAAAGATAATTCCTATTGGCCATGCCTCACTGGTTATGTCACTCATTACACAAGGACTTTCCGAGACTTTCCAAGATTCGGCCAGGAAAATGAAAAATCAAACTAAACTCTAAAAAAAAAAGAGTATTTGGTTAGTGTTTCTGCTACACAACAATAATTGTCATCTACTTCGAGTACTTTCCTTGCGTTATCACAACGGTTTCGGTAGTTCGTGGTCGTGAACGGCGAGCGCATTATCAGTGTGATGTGGCATTCGCGACAAGATAGTGGCCAGCGCCGGGTTTTTAAAAAAGGAGATGCCGGCAAGTCAGATGACGAATATTGTTGTGTAGCAGAACTACTTCGCAAATACTCTGCTTTTTTCTTAGAGTGTACAGCAAGCAATGCGCACTGTACACTGACATCAGCAAACAGAGCATCGGCCATTGAAAAACTGACAAGAAGCCAATGCGTCGGCTTTTATGCATGTATAATCGAAGATCCCAGTGTTATTGCTAGTGGTCACGTAAGTTCCAGAAATATATATAACTCAGATGTTCGCATTGTGCTCGTAACTTTTTCGAAAGGTTCTAACATTATCTGAACAGTTCCCAGTCATTTTCTTGTGCTTTGTGCCAGGCTACATTTGCATTGCAATGGGGTGGTAACATGAAAATAAAGAAAGGAGCATGTGTGACAATAATATTATGTATGTGCAACTGTGGACCAGCAGGTCATGATATGAGGCCGTGGCTGCCATACTTTTGATGGAGGTGAAAATGCTTGAGGCCCGTGTGCTTAGATTTGGGTGCATGCTAGGTGGTTGAAGTTTTTGGAGCCCTCCGCTATGGTGTTTCATAATCATATCATGGTTTTGGGATGTTGAACCACAATAATAATAATAATAATAATAATAATAATAATAATAATAATAATAATAATAATAATAATAATTGTTGTTGTTCTTGTTATTGTTGTTGTTGATCAAGTACACTGTTTACTTGCATGAGTAAAAAGATAACTGAAGTGGTTATTCTATGACATCCACCTGTATGGTGCCCTTATTTTTTCATAATCGAGTGAAAAAATAATGAATGCTTTAAAAAACATTTTCTCCTCGTGATTTGCAGCAAATCAAGATATTTATATAGCTCTTCATAAGAACCCCATAACAATTATTCAGGTGTCTGAACATGAATGCAACAATATAAATGCAATTTACGTCTCCAGTGTACTGCAGAATATGAAAGTTAGCTGCTCCAGGGTGGTCCAAAATTATAAAATTTTCTGCTCTAAAAAGCTCCAGAATGAAAATATTGCCATGCGTGTTTACTCTTTTTTTGTTGTGCTCGCCTGTTTAAAAAGTATTTGGCGCAGGTTTCTCTGCATTGTCTGGAAAGCTTCATGATTGTTTGAGATTACAAGGTTACAAAAAGGATCTGAATAGTCAAGCTTATTGAACTTGAGCACCAGCTGAAATGCTTGATGACTGATGTATAAAATGTTCCACCAATGATGAGATTACCTGATGGCCGACAGTGCAAATTGCTTTTACCTTGACTGTTCATTTTCTGGGCAAATTTTCGCCTTAAATAAGAAGTTACGAATTTCCTCAGTCTTACTGCAGCCTTCTCACTATCACAACCACGGGACCTGAAATTGCTCTAATCGGTAGCATTACTGCAAGTTCAAAACAAAATATTCACAAATGACCAAAGAACCGCATGAACAATAATAAATGTTCTATGTTCTACACATTGTTTTTAATAACATAGACAAAAGAAATCTGAATCGAGGTACTGCTTCATTGCCCATGCCATGTGGGTAGAGCATCTGTGTTTGGTGAGACAAAAGTGCACATTTCACAATCTTCTTTTATGAGAATGTAGATTAATGCCGGTGATGTATATATATATTGTAAGACGACACCCAGGACTTCTTTATTGTCTCGAGTATATATCTCACAACCCAAACTGAAGCGGTGATTATGAGTATGTACAGATGAGAAGATCAAGTGAATAACTAATGCTCTCACTAACTTTCCCCTCGCACTGGTGCAGGCAGCTCGGCCGAGACTTAGGTGGGAAAGGTAAGGGGAACAAATAGTTTCAGACGTGAAACATTGTAGAAGCACAGTAATGACCATCCAAGGAACCCTCCACAGGAG